CAAGGGTGACACACCGTGGCCAGAGAACATAGAAAAATTAATCTGGTTCTTTCAGAATCAAAAACACTTGTCTTTGGATCCACATGATCTTCCAGTATTTAAAAAAATAGTATCAATATGATCTTCCTCCACGTTCCAATATAATCACCAGTAATGAGAAATCGACCTCAGTTAGAGGTCAAAGGATTTCAAATTAATCTAAAATGAGAAATTATTAGGCTAAACTACTTAAAACGTCTTAATGCTAACAATATGACAATCTCATCAGAAAACCAATTTTTAGGATTTGAATTTGTGCATCTCTGCAACTCCAAGAACTCCCAAATAGCAGCTGGAAAGGACTACTGTCCTCAGAAGCACTAAATCTTAACAGGGGCAGGGAGAGAGGTGGTCAGTCAGAAACTGTTTTAATGAAATAGATTGTCAACATAAACAGTGCAGGTATATTCTTTTGATCAGAGGTAATTTTCAATTATGATCCTTGTTTCATATTTCAATAGATAACCTGGTCTTAAAACTCCTATTCAAAACATGCTTTCCTCAGCTTTTACTGCTTAAGTTTTATCTAAAGCTACGTTGTCCAATACAGTAGCCACTAGCCACATGTAGCTATTTAAATTTCGGTTGATTAAAAATTCATTCTTTATGGGCTCAAATAACTACATGTTACTGGGTGCTAGCATATTGGAGAACATGAAGAACATTATCATTACAAAAAGTGCTATTAGCACTGATCTGAAGAAAGTGCAATGTGCCATACGCTCCTGAGACTTTTCAAACTGATCTTTTTAAAAAGTTGTTTAAAAGTATCACTATATTTCTCTGCTACAGGTTAATACTGATCTCTGTTCATAGGTGTGAAAGAACAGTATCAAATTTCTGGTCATTATATGAAGTACTTAAAGCACCATGTGAGGCCCAAGGAAAACATGAACTCAGATATTTTCAAAACATGACTGTACAAAGTAACTGAAGACCGAAACCGGTTTGGCTCAGTGGATAGAACGTCGGTCTGCAGACTGAAAGGTCCAGGGTTCGATTCCGGTCAAGGGCACGTACCTTGGTTGCGGGCACATCCCCAGTGGGGTGTGTGCAAGGGGCAACTGGTCGATGGATCTCTCTTATCGACGTTTCTAACTCTCTATCCCTCTCAATTCCTCTCTGTGTAAAAATCAATAAAATATATATATATTTTTTAAAAAGTAATTGAAGAGATTTGGTATACATGATGAAATTTAGCAGTCATGATTGAAACAGACCTCTTCTATTAATATCCATAAATCTTGACGAAAGCATAAATACCATTTAAAGTTTCTCACAAGAATGGAATAAAAAGCCCTTTACATAATGCTCTATTTTGCTCTGATGTCTCAGTATGGGTTAAAAAAAAAAATTACTTAAATACAAAAAATGGGAAATTGAAATAAAAACTATCTTAGGAATAAAGTGCTATGAAACAAGGACTAAAGAAGTTTTGGTTTAATATGCTCATTTGTATTGTCATCTAATATATGAGATGATTAACTTTGAATATTTCCAGGAAATTTAAATTCATGTTGCTATTTTTCTTATTTACTTTGTCAGAACACAAAGAAGGGATAACAACTGTATATCACTTCTTTCAAATAACTCTGAGATGAGAGGCAGAAGGTGGGGAACAGAGTAGATTGTTTGGGTTTTGTCTTAGTAAATAAAACAACTCAATCATAAAATGCACACAGCTGTATCTAAAAGAAAAATGCAAACACAACGTAACCATACTTTATTTGACTGCATCTTATTTAGACAGCTTGCACATTTAAATCCCATTAAATCTCTCTCTCCAAAAGGATATGGGACAATAGGAGAAAATTATGCAGCAATATCCAGTCATCAAACAGCAGTCCAATATTTTGAGATACACGTGATATTTTATACTCAACTCATATCTGACGTCAATATAATTTATAGTTATGTTTTTACAAACCTGAAAGCCCTGTAACATTTTAGCACTCATTTTAGTGATGTCATGGTGCATTGAAAAGTAACTCTGATGCACCACCAATTTGCTTTTATCTATGCCCCTGAAAAGTGATGAATTTCATGATTTGTAGACACCATAATATACACATCCAGTCTTATACATGTCAGCCAATACCATAACACAGGGCAAGGTAAAGTTAAAACATGTGACAAACAAACTCCTTTACAAAGATTTGTCAAGCAAGTGGAGAAGGTGATTTGGGGAAGAGGCAGAAAATATTAACCAAATTTTTAATATTTTTTCTTATTTTAATTTTGCTGGCTTCAACTTCAAAAACTATTGTCTGGTTACTGACCTGTGGATTACTCTTGAATAGTTTTATTTTAACATAATAGAAATTGTAATCAGTCCACACATCAAAAATGGTAGCATACCCGTTAGCTTCTTCAATACTAACATATATAGCTTCATGGTAGCATGTATAAAAATGTTCAGCAATATTAACTGCCAAACCAGTGTCAGTGGATAGCACAGTCAGACTTAAAGAGGCAGCACCCCTTTAAAAGAAAGTTGCACCAATTTTGCTCAGGTTTAGCCAAGTGAACTCACTCATCCATTTTAAATGGAATTTTTTAATTATTCAAGAAAAATAAAAGCCCAATATCAAAAAGTAAATTAATGTTTGATTCCTTTTAATTGAAATAGAAATTAATTTTGGTTATCATGTTAGAAGTTAAAATTTTAGTCTATTTAAGTAAACAATTTTTGCATACTCAATTAAAGACATAAAGTAGACACTGTTATTTAACATAAACTAGTCAAACAAAAATAACAACCATATGACTTTTTATCACATGGCTATGGTCATATTTATAAATATCCAGTCAATTTGGCAAAACTTAGTCAATTCAGAGGGGAAGGGTCAGTAGAAATGGTTTCATTGACAATCTGCCAAAAACATAATTGTTGAACTGAAAATCCAGCATGTGTCTACTTTAGAACTGTCCCCTTTTGTGAGTCAAGCAAATGTATGTTCATCAATAATCATTACCTATGAACCAGCAAGTCAAATATAAAATGGTGAGAGAAAATCTGGTGATGTAAATACTGTACTGTTTTTCCTTTTGGTTCAGTTCCCTCCATATTAAAAATAACAAGAAGTATCACAATTGGTATTCCTCTAAATGCTAGAGCCCACCCAAATGAAGTTTGACCAAAATCATACTCAAAATGGTCAATTGAAAAGCTGAATATTGTGTGGTCATATTTTAATGTAACCAGTATTCTGTCCATTAAACTTTCAAGAGCAATATAAAATAGAAAGAAAAAAGTTTCTTTAATAATAAGGAACTATAAATGATCCCACCAGCAGAAAGATTTATTTTCACCAAATCTGTTTATCTTTATTTTAAAAGTACTTGTTACCATGTTCACTTTCAAGACATTACACTGAGCAAAGAGCAGCTTTCCTTTAAAAAAAATAATAATAATAATAAAAAGGACAACAAACTTTCCTGAAAGGGGGCTTTTACCAACTGTTAATGGAGGTAGGGTTTTAAAAAAATACAGTAATCATAGTCAAAAATAAAATTCAAACCAAATACTAGAGAAATAAAGCATATCCAAATGAAAGGGGGAAAAAAGCATAGATTCCTATAAAACATTTTTCACAGAGAATGAATTTTTTTTTCCCATGGGTACCTAGGTTTTCCAGCTAAATAAATTATCCATCACAGGTTTCCTGACTCAACTGAAAGCAATTAATTTTAAAATTTGTAATAGTGCACAGATTGGCCAAAACACAACTTAACTTATGAGCATAGTGATGGCTATTGAAAACCTGTAAGAACTCATTCCAAAAAAAAATTCCATTTCTCTTTTGTTTTTCTAGGAACTAAGCAAAGTTGCCCCAAGCATTTACTCAAATAAGTGGAAAGTAAATAAAATTGGTTTAAAGTGGATACAATGCACCTTAAAAGACCAAGAACCAAAAGTGAAACATTTCAAGAAATGAAAGCAATGTGAGTCCTAATTAAGTGGGAAAAAATTTCCACCTACATTGTAAAAGCTGTTCTTCACAGCTTAGCAATAATTTTGATTAAATAAAATCATATCAGTTTACATTAATTTTCTATTCTTTTCCCAAAAATTCCCTCACTCTCAAGAAAAAAGTGCATCCAAAACCCAGCAATTCCCAGCTCCACCAACTTTTTCATCCCCTTTGGAGCCATTTCTCAAAGATTTTCTGAGTAAATTCAACTTCTATTCTGTAAAGTAAACCACTCTGTCACTCACCTGGAAAAAGTATCCAAATTATAAAAATCTGAAATAATTTATTATCAAATTTAGAATTTAAATTAAAAAAAAAGTTTGCTTGCAAAGGCCTTAAAAAAAGAAAAGAAAAAGGTAGCATGCATTAAAAAACTAGAGATGAGGACAAATATACTTATCTACACAAGCACTGGCAAACGCAATTTGTTATCTTTACTCATTGTAAGACACAACCAACCCTAAATTTTTCATTCACTAATCACTGAGGTACCAATATTCAAGAATGGAAAATTTAATATTGAAAAAAATAAAACCTAAAATTGAAGCTTTCCCCCTACCTCCTTCAGAAAACTATGGCAGGTTTTATGTGAAATGTTAATATACTTAGAGATTTTTACAATCTACATTGGCTTTTTTAAGGAACAAAAATAATGTTCCACTTACTGGTTCTGTGGTAAAATGATCACTTTGTTATTAATTACATTGTCAGCAGACTTTTGCAAATGAACAAACAAATCTTGGCAATCAACTGGCACATCTTGTTGGTACCAAAAAAACTCTTTAAGTTTAAAACAATCTCTTTTAATTCAGAACAAATGCGCCATGCCAAAGTGCAACAAATGTTGTGCGACACTCAAAGAGACACTGACAGAAAAGAACTGCATGGAAATTACTAAATCCACCTGCAAAGCAATTCTGTACAAATTGCATTGCATGCAAAGGTCGATTCTGAGTGGTTGGAGAGTTGTTTCTTGATGTCAGTTTCTCAACGCAGCCATAATTTAAGTCGCAGTGCATCAACTCCATTTAAATAGTATCTGAACAGCCTCTTATCTCGAACAAAACCAAGATTTTCATAAAGTTTCAAAGCAGACTTATTCGTTATTTCTGTTTCCAAAACAACCTTCAAAAAATAAGAAAACCTAAGTTATAATGTTATATATTTGAAACTAATTTACAATTTCATAATTTGACAAAGCACTTATAAACAATTAGATCAAATATTTTTTTAAAAAACATACCATAAACTTTTTAAAAATTGATAGCTAAAAGTAATTATTAAACACATCCAGAAAAAAAACCAACACACACACACACACACACACACACAAATAGTCATCAAAAGTTTAATAATAATTCTTTTTGGGGAGAAAGGGGGTGGAAACACTGAAACATGTTCTGCTCTACTGATTGTGATATTAGAATTTTTAGTAATGAAAATGTTTCAAACTAAGACAAAGATAAATTATTTCCGTGTGGATAATCGCGTGACAAAAAGATGGAAAGAACAAAAAAATCAATGGTTTAGAACCATGGTCGGAAAACTGAAGCTTGCGAGCCACATGTAGCTCTTTGGCCCGTTGAGTGTGGCTCTTCCACAAAATACCACTCGCCTGGGCAAATCTATTTTGAAGAAGTGGCATTAGAAGAAGTTTAAATTTAAAAAATTTGGCTCTCAAAAGAAATTTCAATCGTTGTACTGTTGATGTTTGGCTCTACCGACTAATGAGTTTGCCGACCACTGGTTTAGAAAATAAATCAGTATTTGAAAGTGTTCACATTGACCTCCAACTCCTATATTGTTTTCCTTTTTAAATAACTACAGGTATTTTACTGTATTTGTGTATGTAAAGAACAAGATTAAATATTAATCCTAATATATAAAAAGCCAGAGGCCGTCACGGCTGAACGGATGACCAAACAGCAGGCTGTGTGGGGCAACCAGGCCAGCAGGGAGGTTATTGAGGGACAACCAAACGAATGAACAGCAGGCTGCGTGGGGCAATCAGGCCAGCAGGGAGAGCAACTGGGGGTGAGCAGGTCCGCATGGGGGGCTGTTAAGAACAATCTTAACTGGCAGCAGGGGAGGAGAGTAGGGAAAGAGGAGGCAGTTAGGGGCAATCAAGCAGGCAGGCAGATAAGTGGTTAGGAGCCAGCGGTCCCAGATTGTGAGAGGAATGTCCAACTGCTGGACATCACCCGAGGGGCCCGGACTGGAGAGGGTACAGGCTGGGCTGAGAGGACCCCCCAGCCCCATGTGCGAATTTTGTGCACCGTGCCTCTAATCTATTTATAACTTTGTCTCATATGCAGGAAGCTTTCTTTATACAATATACATTCAAAATAATAGGTTCACATGCTTGTTGGAGTGCCATATTTTCATTAATTTGTCATCATTTATCCCAATGAGAACTACCACACTTGTCTAGAGTCCAAACCAGAGTCTGCAAACTGCAGCCCTTGGGTCAAATGTGCCCATGTCTGTTTTTGTAAATAAAGTTTTATTGGAACACACCCAAGGCCATTTGTTTACATGAGGTTTATGGCTGCTTTCTCCATTTACAAAGACAGAAATGAGTAGATGCACCACAGATCTATGGTCCATAAAACCTAAAATACTTACTACTTGGCATTTTGCAGATAAAATTTGCTGAATTTAGTGTACCTGGAGGGCTTGTTTAAAAAAATTGCTCAGCCCCACCCCCAAAGTTTCTGAGTAGGTTTGGGGTGGGGCCCAAGAATGTGTACTTTTTAAAATTGCCAGATGCTGCTGGTCAGGGGGCTAAATACAATACTTTAAACAGAAAAACACATAAAGTATTATTGCCTTTCTGGGTCTTTTTTAATATTACTGTAGCAAAGGCCCTGAGGATGATACTTTTGAAAAAATTATATGATTTTCATTCCTTAATTTATTTTACCTTCCTCTCCCAAAACATCCTTTATCCCACCCTACCAACTTTTATATTCATAGTTCTATTGCTTTTTTTATTGATTCTAAACCTACCTCATTGAGAATTATCAATACAGTGAGCCATGGTTACTGTCAGTATGTTATAACCCTCAGGTATTTAGAGTGGGATTAAAAGGGCAAAATAGCTGAAACCGGTTTGGCTCAGTGGTACAGCGTCGGTCTGCGGACTGAAAGGTCCCAGGTTCGATTCCGGTCAGGGGCATGTACATTGGCTGCAGGCACATCCCTGGTGGGGGCTGTGCAGGAGGCAGCTGGTTGATGTTTCTCTCTCATCAACATTTCTAGCTCTCTATCTCCCTCCCTTCCTATCTGTTAAAAAAAAAAAAAAAAAAAAAAAATATATATATATATATATATATATATATATATATATATATATTTTAAAAAAATTAAATAAAATAAATAAATAAAAGGGCAAAATATCATTAAACAAAGGCCCAAGTGAAGAAGTCTTTGAGCATGTTCCTATTCTAACTCAAGGTATCAAAAAAATCTAAGAATTCAAACAAAATTGAAATTAAGAACAGACTGTACCTCAACTCATCAGATCTAATAATTAAACTCATGACTAACTCCTCCTCCATGATCCCATATGTCAGTAACAAGATATCAATCACAATAATGCCTCAAACCTGAAGCCTATAACCATCCTAGAACCTCTTTCCTTCCCACCCCCCTACTATGTCCAAGCACTGAGTATTTCCATTTTCTCTCTTAAACCTCTCTCAAACTGGTCCACTTTTTTCTATCCTCATTGATAACACTCTAGTCTGAGCTGCCATCAACCTTTACTGTAAGTATAAGAACTTCCTAACTCAAAAATCTCCCATTCTCTAAGTAGTGTGATGCTCTTGTTAATTCCCTGCTTGTCCTTGTCCTCAAAATAAAGTCTGTAAATTAAAAATAATCTAAAGAAACTTAAAAGTCCCCTCAAAATTTGGTCTCTACCTACCTTGCAACTTTGTTTCTCCCGTTGTTCTCCATAATCAACATAAACTTTCAGTTTCTGGAATCTACTGAGATCTTTCCTACCTTAAACCTTCACATAATCTGTTTTCTCTATTTAGAAGTATGCTCTTCCTACCCTACTTGCTTTTGGCCTTGTCACTTCAGACTGAATCAAGTATATCCGTTTCTTGTTATACAACCTCACAGCACTCGGCACCACTCCTTATTCCATTGCATTCTCATCTAACATTTGATAAGTATGTCATTTCTATTAGTTGGTGAGCCCAACAATAGCTGTGATTATGGATGGGTACCTCCTTCACAGCTATTTCCTCTGCATCTAACACACTGCCTGACATATAGAAATATCTTAAATATTTATTAGTTGTATACATTCTAAGCACCTTTTTATTACATAAATATTAAACAAACGTACTGCCAAGCTTTTAAATGACCAGAGTGCTTAAAGAGAAAGCATAATCTTAAGATAATTACTTATGCAATTAAGTCATAGAAGCAAATCACATGCTAAATACAAACTTATAAAAGATCTAGAAAGCAAGTAACAGTTAAGGATCATGAGAACAATTTCCTAAGGCCTAAAATAATAGTTGTATAGCAAACATATATTTTTTTTTAATACAGTTTATTTTTTAGGGAGAGAAAGAGAGAGGGATAGAGAGCTAGAACATCGATGAAATAGAATCACCGATCAGCTGCCTCCTACACATCTCCCACCGGAAATGTGCCCGCAAGCAAGGTACATACCCTTGACCAGGATCGAACCCGGGACCTTTCAGTCCACAGGCTTACGCTCTATCCACTGAGCCAAACCGGTCTTGGCAGCAAACATATTTCTTTTTTTCTTTTTTTTTAATATATTTTATTGATTTTGTACAGATAGGAAGGGAGAGAGATAGAGTTACAAACATCGATGAGAGAGAGTCATCGATCAGCTGCCTCTTGCACACCCCCTACTGGGGATATGCCCGCAACCAATGTACATGCCCTTGACCGGAATCGAACCCGGGACTCTTCAGTCCCCAAGCCAACGCTCTATCCATTGAGCCAAACCAGTTTCGGCAAACATATTTCTTTAAGATAAAAAGACACATCTCTCCGCTCTTAAAAAAAAACAAATAGATAACTTAATGGCTACTTATTTTTTATCTACAATCTGGTAATAGATTTTATGTTGTATACTGAAATAGATAGATAGATAGATAGATAGATAGATAGATAGACAGACAGACAGACAGACATGATAGATAGAATTTTTTAAAAGTAATATAGGCCACCTAACACTCCAGTCTGGTCAGTACAAGTTTTCAGTTTTGAACAATTAACTTGGGTAATTCTTAGAATTCTGTTTTAGGCCAGCACTTAAACAACTAAATTACAACTAAAATGTTAAATCAAAACAACATGAGAAGCAATAAAGCTGCAAAAACACAAAACTTGGAACTGATTTCACAGAAATAAAAAAGTGACAGTTTTAATAAAATAGCTAACATTTATCAAAGGCTTACTAAATGTTATGGAAAGCATTTTACATGCATTTATCATTATGGTATTTTCACAATAACCCTATAAATAATTATTATTTTTCTCTAATTTACAAATGAATGAAACTCAGGGCCAGTCTCTTAACCTGAACTAGAACTTAATAGTATTCACTCTTCTATACCTCCCATGATTGATTTCCAAAGTAAAAACAATGCAGCAAATGGAAGCTCTAAAATATTTATAACATGATGAAGGAGATCCAAGTCCATGTTCATTAATATTTGGCAATCTAAAATATTGAAAACATCTGCAGCTAACTACAACTACATAAACTGAGGTGTTGAATTACATAGAAAAAGAATTTCACAAAGGGCTAACCTTTGTTAAAATGAAAAGTGTCTCTCAGCACACTCACAGTTTCTAAACAAAGATATTATGTATTATTGACTCAATAGAAAATGCTAGAAAAAAAGTAACTCCTTTTAAATACTTAATCACTTATATTCTTGTATTAAAAGAGAATCTGGGTTTATACTGGAAATTCACTATAAAACTATTCTTTTAGTACACATCATGGGAGTATTACATTGGGAGCCAATGGATAATAAGGTATTTGGTCCTAAAGAAACTTGGCAGTTGAATTCTACTTAACAGAAAAAAAGGATTACAGTGAACTTCTACGGATTCTCTTCACA